GAGGAGGAGAATGCTGAGGAGAGAGCAAACATAGTGGAGGAAGCATCATGAAAAAGACTCGCAGAAGCAAAAGAAGAAGAAACTCTTTGCCAGTGGAACTGCAAAACTGCTTTTAAATTCTTGAAGGGGAGTTTGGCAGACAGTGTGCAGAGGAAGTCATACAGGAGGGAGGCTGAAGCTCAGCCAAGCAGAATCATTGAACCCACCCCCTACAAAAGGAAGAAGAGAAGAGCAGTTGTAGGAGGCTCCTCAGTGTGTGGGAATGAAACTGAAATACGTTGGGAAGATCCACAGACCTGCCAGATATGCTGTCTCTTTGGAGGACAGATTAGGGATTTGACGGAAGGACTGCCATGGCACATAAAACCCATAGATGCATATCCATTTCTTTTCATCCATATTAGAACAAATAATAAAGCTAAGAGGAACTACAGTCCAGAGAGTCTTCTCTATATTCAGAAGAGGAATAGAAAGGGAAAGGGAAATACTCCAGGTGAATAACTGACTACAAAGGTGGCCCTGGCATAAAGGATTTGGATTTTGGGACCATGGGCTAAGCTTCCTGGAAGAAGGACTATCAGCAAGAGATGTCTTGCACCTCACAAGGACTGGGGAGACTGTGTTTGGCCACAGCATAAAGAACTTCACCAGGATGGCTTTAAACTGAATTGGAAGGGTGATGGAGACACAAACTCAGAGTTAAAGATAGATGAAGCCTTGCACACAATAAGAGGAATGGACAAAACAGTTCTAATGGGGTTCAATAAAAACATTAATAGTAATATTCATAAAAATGTGCAAAGACAGGCCACAAATCACATAATCTCCAGTGTCTATATATGAATGCCAGGAGTAGGGAAACAAACAAGAAGAACTGGAAATTTTAGTTCAGGAGGGCAAATATGACTTGATAGGAATAACTCAAACTTGATGGGATGACTCCCACAACTGGAATACAGCAGTTGAAGGATATAAATTGTTCAAAAAGAACAGAGAGAATAGGAAGGGAGGTGGAGTTGCAATATACGTGCAAACTACACATTTCTGCACAGAAATATGGGAGGAGGAGATTAGCTGTTCCATTGAGAGCATCTGGATCAATGTAGTTGGGGCAAAAAACAAAAGGAACTTGTTAGTTGACTACCGGCTGCCAAATCAAGGAGAAGAAGCAGATGAAGCTTTTGCAAAACAAGCTGCAAGGATGTCAAAGAGACACAATGTAGTAGGGATGGGAGATTTCAGTTATCCTGATATCTGTTTGGAGGCAAATTCTGCAAAGCATGGACCTTCCTAGAAATTCCTGGCTTGTGTGGATGATAATTTTCTCCAAATCCTGTGAGGTGCTAGTCTCCCTCTGTTCAGCACAGGTTAGGCCTCATCTAGAGAACTGTCCCCAGTTCTGGACACCACACTTTGGGAAGGATGCTGACAATTTGGAACACGTTCAGAGGAGGGCGAAAAGGATGGTCAGGGGGCTGGAAACCAAGCCTAATGAGGAAAGGCTGAAAGAACTGGGAATGTTTAGCCTTGAGAAAAGAAGGCTGAGGGGAGATAGGATCACACTTTTTGAAATACTTGAAAGGAGGAGGCGGGGCAGGATCTGTTCTCAGTGATCCCTGACTGCAGGACTGGTAACAATGGGCTCAAGTTACAGGAAGCCAGATTTCATTTGAATATCAGGAAAAAAAATTCCTAACTGTTAGAGCAGTAGGACAGCTGGTGGTGAGGGCTCCAACACGGGG